AAGAGTGAAAAAGTTGGCTTAAAGCTCAACATTCAGAAAACTAAGATCATGGCATCTAGTCCCATCACCTCATGGGAAATAGTTGGGGAAACAGTGGAAACAGTGTCAGACTTTATTTTTCTGGGCTCCAAAATCACTGCAGATGGTTTATTTAGCCATGACATTAAAAGACGCTTACTCCTTGGAAGGAAAGTTATGACCAACCTAGATAGCATATTAAAAAGCAGAGAAATTACTTTGCCAACAAAGGTCCGTCTGGTCAAGGCTATGGTTTTTCCAGTGGTCATGTATGGATGTGAGAGTTGGACTGTGAAGAAAGCTGACCGTCGAATAACTGATGCTTTTGAACTGTGGTGTTGGAGAAGACTCTTGAGAGTCCCTTGGACTGCATGGAGATCCAACCAGTCCATCCTGAAGGAGATCAGTCCTGGGTGTTCATTGGAAGGACTAATGCTGAAGCTGAAACTCCAATACTTTGGCCACCTGATGCAAAGAGTTGACTCACTGGAAAAGACCCTGATGCTGGGAGGGATTGGGGGCAGGAAGAGAAGGGGACGACAGAGGATGAGATGACTGGATGGCATCACAGACTTGATGGGCATGAGTTTGAGTAAACTCCGGGATTTTGTGATGGACAGGGAGGCCTGGCGTGCTGCGATTCATGGGGTTTCAGAGTTGGACACGACTGAGTGACTGAACTAACTAACTAACTATAGGCAAGACGAGATATAATAAAATGGAATCTGTTAGACTAAAGCCAAAAGTAAGTTAGCTTCTTTACACAGATTAAAAAGTTTACAATGTCAGTGAAACTCAGTTTTCCTCCTTTGATCTCCCCTGGCTAGAGACTGATATCTCACTGTTTCCTTCGAACTTGGCCAAACTCACATTTTCTTCTCACTTTGAGGATGGAGCAACAGAAGGTGGATACATGATAAGAGGAAGGACACTCATTTGATTCATGTGAGAGAGCAAAGCAGGCCAGAACAGGAGGAGGGAAT